GACTGTGTGACATTTTTATAAAAAAAGAGGGGGGGGGGGGGGATTATCTGCTCCCATCAACTTCCCCCATCAACTGTTATGATGTAATTAAAGAGACCCTGTCAGGTAAGGAAATCCCACCGGAAGTCGTCTGCAATGGAAGAGCCATTATTCTCCCCAGCGGTGTCACCTACCTGTCCTCCATTTCCGTGCTCTACAATGGCTGTGTCACCCTCTACATAACACAGCGATGTCATAGGGGTTGGTAGATAGAACCAAAGGGGACACACAGGCATCCAGGAGAGTTGCATGCTCAAGTGTCTTGTGGAGACCAGATCGGAGGGGTGGTAGGAGGCACATTCTGCACGAGAGGAGAGTACAATAGCTCTTTCCATTCAGGGAACCTTAGGACCCTTATTGGGAAACATATTTTAAGCTTCACTGTCTTTCATAAAGGAGGGGGGGGCGGGCAGTGATTCATAGCACAGAGGAGACTAACAGAGGAGACCACAGGGCTGTGCTAACTAACAGCCCTTATCTGAAATCTTCCATGATGACATGGACTGCTCCTTTAAGGAGTGGTTCACAGAAACACAAAAACGCGTCAGCACTTCCCCTAACGATCAGCATGAAGATGATCTATAGACACAGGTCTGTTCCCAGCACACTCCATAGATACATATAAATAAACTTAAGAATGACCTGTAGGGTTGAGGTGCCTCCAGGTGATGATGGGGTCGGGGCGCCCGTTGGCAATGCACACCAGAGTCACGTTGCTGCCTTCGTTCACAGTGATGTCTGCGGAGATGTTGGAGATCTTTGGTGGAACTGCGGAAGGAACACAAACATGGAAAACCAGAGTTAGAGATGTCAATGCTGAGCCAAAGTGATACATTTAAAGGACAACTCCACATAGAGAGTTATGTACACAGGAATATAGGGAGTATATATGAGATGTGTTTATCCGACAAGGTAACACGCATAGGCCTATGATCCCCCTTCTCCGTGCGGTGCTACATGACTTGTGTATCGATCCTGATTAAAGATTTCATAGAGCCGCAGACGTCGTGCCTCTGCCCCGCCTTCAGTCTACTTGTGAACATCACTTTGTGTCCAAGTCTCTCTTAGGGTACGTTCACACCAGAAGCAGTGCGTTCCGGTCTGATTCTGGCCAGAACGCACTGCATCGCATTGCGGCTGGCTCACTATTTTGTGGGGCGGGAGGGGGTGTGGCGGGCCATTGAAGTGAATGGCACCATAGCCACACCCTCTGGCTGCAATGCAATCGCCCACACGGGATCGCAAGGCACATTGTGCCTTGCGATCCCGTGCGGGCGATTGCATTGCGGCCGGAGGGCGTGGCTACAGTGCCATTCACTTCAATGGCCCGCCACTCCTGCCCCACAAAATAGTGAGCCGGCCACAATGCGATGCAGTGCGTTCTGGCCAGAATCAGACCGGAACGCACTGCATCTGGTGTGAGCGTACCCTTAGGGCCCATTCACACCACATCCAGATCCTTTCCAGACCAGACCAGATTGTTTCCGGATCCATAATACATGCATATGTATCCCTATGGCCTCTGTACACACCAGCACAGTCCGTTCCAAACCGGCCCACAAAAAAACTGCGTGCCTCATTTTGTCTGGTCCAGAAAATGGTGTGAACCTGCCCTTTGCATTGTCTATATGACAGAAGATAATTGCTTTGTATTATACTGCAGGAGCAGCTGTCAAAATGCACCCGTCCCTGTGTAAAACGACACTTGCAGATAGTTTGCAAGTGTCATTGAGCAAATACAACTTAAATTGTGTCGTTCTCATTTACAATAAAACTAGTTTTTTTTTTGTAAGACTAACACCGGTCAAAGCTGACAGAGAAATATATTTATTCATTGTTTTTCTTTTTTTTACATCTTTCTCTTTTTTTTTTTAACTTCCAATCTCCAAAGATTATAAAAAAAAAATAGAAAGTCTAGTTACGTCCCCCCACCCTCCCAATAAAAAATAATTGTACATATGACTTTGTTATTGTAAGTAATGACAAAGTTACACTGAATAAAGAGGCCCATAGTTGAGATATGAAGAATTGATGAGGACCATAAGAGGTGTACAAGTACAAGAGGTGAAGTAGATAATGGATGTTCCGTCTCTGCTGAATATCTTCTTTTTTTTTTACATCTTCAATTTTTTTTAATGCCTTGTTATCTATAAATTCCATAGAAAATAAAATAGATTTATTTTTTTACAACTTTTTTTTTCTTTTGGGGGTGGGGGGAATGTTGAAAAGAGTAAGTCTAGTTAGCCCCACCCCCAAAATAAATAAATATATTAAATAAATAAATCAATGTATGTATTACTTTGTTATTGTAAGTAATGGTGAATAAACAGACGAATAATGTAAAGAATTGATGTGGTCCATAAGCGGTGCACACAAGCATGAGGGCTGAAGTAGTCCATTTCTTGGATGAAGAGCAATGATGTACTCAGGGGCGTCCCGAGGCTGGGTGACACCCGGAGCGGTAACCGAGGGTCACCCCTCTGAGACGTCACTGCGCATGCGCGGCAGTATTCTGATACCTGCCGGCGGCAATCTTGGTGGTAGAGAGAGGAGGGGACAGTCACCCGGCGGGATAAGGTATGCCGCCAGGTCTCCACCTCTCTCCTGATACTGTCGGCGTTCGGTCCATGACCGAGCGCCCGACTTTTCAGAGGGGGGTGACACCAAAATGACTGTGAGTCATTTTGGTGTCACCCCTCCAATGGTGTCACCTGGGTGCGGGCCGCACGCCCCTTGTGACGCCACTGGATGTACTGCATGTCCTGGATATTAGAGGAGAGGCCGCAGCGGGTTCCTCACTGAACATCTCTCCTCCTGTATGTATTATAAAACAAAAATTTTTCCGTGTAGAATATCTAAATCCCGAGAACGGCGGGCGGACGGAGAGAGCAAACATTACCTAACGCCCTTCACCGCGGAGGGAGCGGGCCGCAGCGCGCAGCTTTATATACCCCTGACCTTTGTCTAGCCGTCTGCTGCCATTCACTCCGGGGAACCAGTAAAAGAAACTGATTTCATCTGAAAGGTCAAAGTCGCCCCCTTCCTCTGTACTCTATTTATTAGACTAGAGACATCCGCCGCGCGTCCAGTCCCTCGCCGCATTCACTGCTCTCAATATTAGGCAAATCATTTCCCAGTATTAAAGCTGGGCATTTGAAGAAATCAGTCTTGCAGTGGTAACCCCCCCCCCTCCCCTGAACCTTAGGGTTAAGTGCTCATTTTGGTCTAGGGGCTCATATAAAGAAGAAATACTCAGCCGCTCCTCGGTCCCGCGGCAGCTCACACAATGTAATGCTCGTTTTTACCCGGGGACGGTCCTGCAGTCTTCCTCCCTACCAGTTACACTCCCTGTGACCGATCCCTTGAAGTCTTCAAAATGAAATCTCTCTGGTGTAAAAGGACACTCGCAGACAGTTTGAAAGTGTCATTGAGCAAATACAATGTAACCATGTATTGCTTCTTTGTGTTTACTATTTCATTCATATGTAGATGAGTTCAGGATGCGCCGATACGGATACTAGTATGGGTGCCGATACCGTGTATTTGGGCGTGGAAGATCTCCTCTGACTGGCAGTGCCGTAGGGGAACATGGAGCTGGCTTTCCGGCTAATCAGGAAGCTGGGCGGCAAGTAATGACCCACCTCCTGGATTCCTGATTGGCCGGGAAGCCGACTCCATGCTGATTGGCTGGGAAGCCAGCTTCCTGGCCAATCAGCATCAACCCGGCCAAACAGCCGCCTCCATGCTGATTGGCTGGGAAGCCAGCTTCCTGGCCAATCAGCATCAAGCAGGCCAAACAGCCGCCTCCGTGCTGATTGACTGGGAAACGGCTTCCCAGCCAATCAGCATGGAGCCGGCCGAACAGTTAACTCCTTGCTGATTGGCTGGGAAGCCGTCTTCCTAGCCAATCAGCATGGAGCTGGCTTCCCGGCCAACCAGGGAGGCGGGAGGCAGGTCATTACTTTCCGCCCAGCTTCCTGATTGGCCGGGAAGCTGGCCCGTTGCTGACTGACTGAGAATCCGGTTTCCCGGCCAATCACAATCAAGCCGGAGAAACAACATGGAGCCGGCTTCCCGGGGCAATCAGGAAGCAGAGGGCAGCATGTCATTATACGCAGGCCAGCTTCCTAATTGCCTGGGAAGCCGGGTCCATGCCAGCGGAAGCACCAGTATCGGGTATTTGGGTACTTGATACCGAAAAACTGGTGTCGGTGCATCCCTAAGATGAGTTAAACAATATTCACCAAATTTAACATTTCAGTAAGGATTTCTGGCAGTTTTTTTTTCTCACAATAGTATATTTAACAGACCAAAAGAGAGCAACTACGAGACGTTCATTGTTACGGTTTACATAGCCTTGAATTCTATGGAAATGTGGTCATTATATGGCAGCCATATTGATATATTACATAGGCAGGCTCTGCTTTATACATGGCAGTGCTACTTACTGCTAGTGCTTTACTGCTTCTCACAATGCAAGGCTACGGGCCGGATTACCAAAGGATGAATAGTTGTGTAGTTAGTAAAGTGAATGTTCACTTGTAAATAAGGGGAATTACATACCCTTTAATTCTATGTAAGTTTTGTTATTTTACGGCAATTTCTATTGATATATTACCTGTGCAGGCTCTGCCTCCTGCCTTGCAGTGTTACCTACTGATTGTGCTTCAATGCTCCACACAATGCAAGAACATGGGCTTGATTATCAAATGACGAATAATCACACATGACTAGACATGGAGGGGTGTAGTTATAAAACATTTGCAGAGCGGCTCGCTGTGCGAACATCTGACTTTTACATGTGCACCACAATATAGCCACTAGATGGAGCCGAGGAGCATAAGATTCCCTATGCTCCTCGGCTCCATCTAGTGGCCCTAGCGCAGTCAGACGTTTGCAGAGCTCTCTGGGCCTAGGCTTACCCAACCCCCTTCCCCGCCCAGAGATCAGTACCACTTTGTGTAAGCTTAGGGTGTCACCGCTCTGCCCCCTGGGGGTTGCATCATCAAGCTACACTGGGCTCATGGGAGAATGCTGCAGTGGACATTGCCACATCATTGCTTTTACTGAAAGTCACACCACCCAAGTCACAATGTACGTAAAATATCTGGGAGCTGTCGGCTGTGTGATCTCCGGCGATACATCTTGTGCCGTTCTTCCATGTCCCCGAAAGACTTCACTCTGCTCTCAGAGTTCACATTAGGATTCAGCAGAGCGGCCTTCCTCTCTATTGACTCCCCGCAGTTTATCTAGCAGCTCCGGAGACTCACACCAGAGGTAGATAATTGACATTTCTCATGTTTGGACAGAACTCTCTCTTTCTCTTTTATTTTTTCAGAATTCTTATATTGAAGATGTCAGTATGTTTCACCATCAGCTATGAATCACCCGTCCCCGCGTCCCCCCGTCCCCCTGCGTCCCCCCACGTCCCCGGATACAGGTTAAAGAGAAAGGAAAAAATTGACATTATTTTGTCAAATGAAAACTTCATAAAATGATTAAATGGATTAAAAATTGTTAGAGTAAGAGTCTTCAGTTTATTTATTGCACGGCAGTCCTGGTATTCTTGTTGTCGGCCCGTGCTAAATCCGATCCAGATGAGCCTGGGACTCTCCCTGTACAGCAGAACTCAGAGAGGGGGAGTGAGAAGCAGCACAAGGAAAACATTTTGTTGTTTTATGCAGTGCTCATGTGCTAACGTGGATTGTGCCAAACGATACAGTGACAGAGAGAGAGATGAGCTCAACAATCTTCCTCTTCTTCTACTA